GGACCTTCCCTGGGAGTCATCATTTTTCACCAATGGTAAACATAAGCCTTGCAACTGTGTGGGTGAATTCCTTGAGCAGCCTTTGACGAGTCTCAGCCCAGCCCCATGAATATGAATACATCCAGTTTCTTTCAGAAAGTTCAGCTTCATTAAGAAGCAAGGTCAGGACTTCCCCACTGCTGGCTGTCCCTTTCCTTCTCAAACTCTGTTGGAAGATGCTGACATGGAGGGATAAATGTTGCCAGCGAAGACTGATGCAGAAAAGGTGCTGCATGTAAGTGCTTTTGGATTTATCTCTCACAAGGTGGTCACCCATATACAACAGCAAACATACATTTTCTCTGGACTCCCTTATGCATCATCCATGCAGAAGTGTTATGCTCAATGTTTGAAGTACCCAAGCAATGTTTTATAGTCCTGTTTTGTTGCCAGTCCTTGCCTCCACCTCTTGTATACTTTTGTGTTTTAATTCATCAAGAAGTTTGCTTAGCTAAGATCCAATTCCCAATCCTCCTGCAGAACAAGGTAGTTTGTTTTCCTATGCTCTTCATAATTTTCCTTTAAACTCCAACCTCCTCTCCTGAGATTCTCTTCCACAGCTGCTGCCATGTGTGTGCTAACTGGCAGTTCCCTGAATGCAATGAATTCCAGTCTTACGAAGTCTAGAGTGCTAATTCTGCTGCTTATCTCCCCAGCTTTCCACTAGATCCTTCATCCAGTCATCATGTGTTTGCTGCAGCCTGAGCTGCCACCTGGGATCATATTTATCACTAGTTCATCCTTGCTTCCAGCACTCAGCATTGCCTGGCCAGTATTTACGCTGGGATGTTGGCATTAGCACGAGGAATTTCTGGCATAACTTGCCTGGTGCTGGTGCCCTCACAGCAGATGTCCACATGGCTGAAAACCTCTCTAAGGCAGAGGAGACTTGTGACTTTCCACTAGTTGTAGAAATCCTCCTCCACTACTTTGTCTTGGTCAGGTGGTCCATGACAGACCCCATCACAACATCCCTCATTTTCCTCCTGCCTCTGACAGAATGTTCTTCAGCCTCACACTGGAGCACTGCACGAGGGAGGAGCACTTTGACATAAAGCATAAATCCTTCTCATTTGCCCTGTCTATTCATCCTAAACAGTCCCATGACCGTGTTCCAGTAGTGCACACTATCACACATTATCTCCATAATTCTGTTCATGTTCCTCTTCTTCCTTTTAAAATTCCTACATTTGCAGCTTTTCATCTGTCACTTCTGAGCTTTTGTGCTTCTCCCATAAAAAAATCCTGATTTCAGACCTTTGTCATCAGGTTAGCAGTCTCATTGCAAAGATTTCTTTCCTTCTTAGTCCTCAAATACAGATGTCCAAAAATCTAGGGGAACTTATAGAACTTATAGTTTCCAAACATAGTGTAGAAACTCCACTTAAAAATCCATTTGGATAACACAGGACAGCCCAGTGAATAATGCAATGCCCTGGTATTGACAGGGCTTATGGAGAAATCCAGGGAACTACAGTGCAGTGATGAGTGCACTGGACAAATGTGTACTGGGACTCAGAAAGCCCCCGTGCCCTGCGCTGATCCCCCAGCGTGGGCAGCAGGGCAGGGGGGATTCTGCCCCTCTGCCCCCTCAGGTGAGACCCCCCGGCAGAGCTGCCCCAGCCCTGGGAACAGCACAGCAAGGACATGGAGCTGCTGCAGAGAGTCCAGAGGAGGCACCAAGATGAGCAGAGGATAGAGCAGCTCTGCTGGGAGGAAAGGGGAGAGAGCTGGGATTGTTCAGCCTGGAGAGGAGAAGCTTTGGGGTGACCCCACTGTGGCCTTCCAGTATCTGAAGGCAACCTGCAAGATGGAGAGAGACTATTTACAAGGGAGTGATAGGACAAGAGGCTTCATGCTGACAGAGAGTAGGTTTAGATTAGATATTGTGAAGAAATTCTTGGCTGTGAGGGTGGGCAGGCCCTGGCACAGGCTGCCCAGAGAAGCTGTGGCTGCCCCATCCCTGGAAGCGTCCAAGGCCAGGCTGGACGGGGCTTGGAGCAACCTGGGAGAATGGAAGGTGTCCCTGCCCATGGCAGGGGGAGATGGAATGAGATGATCTTTAAGGTCTCTTCCAACCCAAACCATTGTATGATTCTTTGAAATCAGGAGAAATTATAACATAGAACAAAATGAATGGATACAGGAAAAGTGGCAGTCTTTCATATGCATTTGAAAGGGGAAGTCTTACCGCACAAACCTGTTTTCTCCTTTGAAGGCCATGCAAAGCACATAGATTTAACTGTCAAGACCACACCTCTAATGCTAGATAACTCTGCTCCTTAGTGTGATCTCTGTTATCAGATGAAATGGTGTGAGTTGCCTTGCAGTTAGCCCTCAGTGCTCCTGGCCACCAGAACAGCATCAGCACCACACAACCCTTGGCTTGGGGCTCTGCTCTTTAGCAAATGCCTACTTTCCCTTTTGCTCCTAATAAACAATGGCACAGAGGGGAAAACTGCAGCACTGGCATCTGTGTGCACATTGTTCACACAAATGGAACATCAACTGTCAGAGCAGCTTTCAAAGGGAAAACCCCTCACCCTCTGCACTAGACACAGAGGGACTAGAAACTGAGAAAGAAACTGTGAGATGGATAGAAAAGGGCTGGAAGCCCAACATGGGAAAGTTGGGGAACTTGCAGGAGAAAACATAAACTAAACTTTTACCCTTTTCCTCTAGATGGTATTTCTGGAAGATAAATATTACATTAATTCATATTTCTGGGCAAACTAACTTGAAGAATTTTCTTCCACAGATTTAAAAGTTCTGATCATATGGACACTCAGATAAGGATCTTGTAAGAAGCTCTGGGGTACACACCAACTTTTGTTTTAATTCATAGAGATTGTCAGTCCCACTGAAGTGATAAATTTCTGTCACATGGCCTATTAGGCATTCCAGGCTCTTGCAGAGAAATACTCTGTAACTTGAATTACCTGATCCAGACTCCATGAAGATTTAGCTCCCACTTCTCACAGTTCTATGAGCTAGGTCATAGAAAATCAGCCAACTTCCTCTCTCCAACCATAGGGCAGCCAAGATGACACCTGTCCTTGGGAAGAGGGATCTGTTGAAAAAGGCAGCAATGTCCTCAGGCAAAATAAAGAGAGAAATTGATCCTGATACCCACTGACATTCTGCCACTTTTGTGTCAGGGCCTGGAGTCCAGTAGGACTAGAAGTAAACCAGAGCACAGCCAGAAGAGGCAGAATCAGAGAAATCATTGGATAAAGATGGTCCCACACAGACATAAGGTGTGGGCAAAGTGCTGGTGTGATGACATCCAGGCATGCTGAAAACAGGTCCCACCCCACTTTCTGTAAGGCCCTACAATGTGATTTCCCTTCCCTTGAGTTCAGTGGGCATGAGCTGGGGAGCTCTGGGAGGAAGAGGGGAACTCATGAACACTGGTGAAGCATGAAGGTGGAGCACTATCAAAGCTTTTGAGTTTGTGGCCCCATGGAAATCTCACTCTCTGGTCTTCTTCTTCTTCGAGCAGCAGCAGCTGCCTTGTAACTTGTCTAGTTAGAAAATCCAAGACCAGTATTTCCATGTCATTGGCACAGAACCAAACACCTTCAGGCCTTCTGCTAGGTCCTCCTTCCACCCTGGACCAAGCTGACCAGGACCTCCTGTCCAGTTGCAATGCCAGAAAAAGAAGTATGAATACAAGTCTCCATGCTCTTCTTCAGGCTCACTGGTCTTCTTTTCTGCTCAGAGAGAAAGAAATAAAGCAAACCCAGTTAGAATGTGTGAACCAACCTGCTAAGTTCAAGAAGGCATCCTCATATTCCTAGGAAAAGTAACTAGAGGAATTTGCTTCCACAGATTTAAAAATCCTAGTCATGTGGACACTCAGACAGGCAATATTGCAAAAATCTCTGGCTGCACCTCAGATCCTGGGGGCAGTTCTGGGCCCCTCACTGCAAGAAAGACATTGAGGGGCTGGGGCGTGTCCAGGGAAGGGAATGGAGCTGGGAAGGTTCTGGCACACCAGGAGTGATTGAGAGAGCTGGAGGGGCTCAGCCTGGAGAAAAGGAGGCTCAGGGGGGACCTTCTGGCTCTGCAATCCCTGACAGGAGGGGGGAGCTGGGAGGGGGTCGGGCTCTGCTCCCAGGGAACAGGGACAGGAGGAGAGGGAACGGCCTCCAGCTGTGCCGGGGGGAGTTAGGTTGGATATTGGAGAAATTTCTTAACTTAAAAGGGTTGTCCAGCCCTGGTACTGCTGCCCAGGGCAGAGGGGAAGTTTCCATCCTGGAGGGATTTGAAAGATGTGTGGGGACATGGTTTAGTGGCAGACTTGGCAGTGCTGGGGTAAAGGTTGGATGATTGATGTTAGAGGTCTTTTCCAACCCACATGGAGACCTCAGAACAGCTTCACATTTCTGAGAGTACAGGCAGCAGAGAAATTATTCAGCTGGAGAAGCAATTGTTCTGATTTCTTTTGCTGCTTTTATTTCTGCAGGCGCTTTCTCTGTAGGATGTTGAGACACCACCATCATCTCTTTCACTTTTCCTGTGTGTGCTAAACTGTTGGGCATTATGTCCAGAATAGTGAAGGGCAGTCATTGCCAAGTCCTTCCCCTACTTAGCACTTAGTATTTGCAGGAATGTTTCAGAAAAGGATGTGGTTTCAGCAAAGATTGCCTAAATTTTCTTCTACTGGGAAATTAGTATTTAGTATCAGTGCCCTTTTATTTTAAGGAAAGAAAAAAATTATTTTGTTCAGTGCCTTGATTCTGCCTTAAAAACATGTATGGCAATGTGAGAACTAGCTATTGAAAATCATTTTCTGATCTAATGCTTTTTCTTACCAGACTCTGCAAGTCATACAGAGTAGAGTAGTATCCCCCCAAAATAAATAGCAACATTTCAATTACAGAGTCAGGACATTAACATATAGCATTTTTGAGGTAAAAAAAACCCAACACCATCACCCCAAAACAGCAGAGGCTGGGCTAGTGACAGACCCTTTCCTGGGAAATACAAAAATCATGTAGGTTAGAATTACACTTCCAGAAAGTGCAGTAATGTAGGAAGGAGTCTGAAGTTTCCTGACTTGCTCATGATTTCCCCACTGCCAAAAAAAGGATCTCAAGTCCTTGCAGGGCTTTCAGCTCTCAAGTGCTGTTGTTGGCCATGCTGTTGTTAGGGTAGGGCCTGCCTAGAGAGATCAGTTTGCCCTGCAGCCTGTGATGGACAGTCTGACAGGGAACTCAGCCCCTGCTGCAGCAGCTTTTCTGCTGCCTCTGTGTAAAACGAGAGCTGCCAGGAATGTTAGCACAGGGCAAGCAGAAATGGTCAGAACAACACTCTGTAGCAACACTGCTCATCCCTGTACTTCTGCTACGATGTGGCTGGACACTGAGCCCTGGAGATGGTAAGAGCACATTTTCCATGTTAAAAGGTTATTTATCAATTCAGTGTTGCTCCATTAAGGTGCATGCTTTCAATATTATGTGCAGAATGTGCTCGGTCCATACTTTGGATGTGACATCTGGTTGGGAAATTTGCCACTGAACTAAAATTTCTGATAAATGTGGCTGAAGGAATGGGCTGAGAGAATTGCTCAGCAATTCTATATGTTTATATTCTATAAATTCCAATGTATTGGAAGCAATACATGATTCCCTAGGAAAAACTCCTGAGGACCATAACTAATGAGACAAAAGCTGCAGGTTGAAAAAGCAGTGTGGACCATTTATTCTTTACCGTGGCAAATGTAAGCAAAAATTTTTGGGTCTAAGTGTGAGCACGCTGATGTCACAGGCTGGCCATGGAGGGGCTGTAATGGCCTTATTGTCCCCTGCCCTTTCCGCTCTATTCAGGAATTAATTTTTGCAGATCTTAATGCAGCTGTGATTTACTTTCACTACAAGTCAAGGAAAGTCAATGCTCCTGTCCCAGGGGGAGTTTTAATGTTAAATTTGTTTCCAAGGAGCTTTCCACAGACTGGTATTCTTGGAAGTCCTCAGGAGTTAACTGAACATGAGAGGCAAATAAACCCCAGACTGTGGGATTAGAGGATTGGCAGCTTTCAAATGTGAACCACAGGTGCACATTACACACTCCTCCCATGTCCACAGCCAACACCAGCGGAAGGGGTTGGGGCAGGAGATTCAGTCCAAGGAGATGACCCTTGGGATGCCCTTTCAGTCCTCCACCAAAGGAGCTGAGGGGCTCCTGTTACAGAGCAGGTGAGAGGGATGGGCAGGCTGGCAGACAGCTGGGGAGAAAAAGGTAACTGAAGCAGCAAGTAACTGTAAGCGGAGCAAGGAAGGGGAATGGAAAGAAAGGAAGAAGCATAGTATTAACTCCTGCAGGAAACTGTATCATAATCTAAAATAGGCTGTGCTTGTGAGATCAAAGGTCCACATAGTCAAACTTTCTGTCCATGAAAGTGATGGCCAGGAAGGAGCATCCAGATAGAATGGCACTTCTCCCAAACTCTCCCAACTCCCAGTAATTTGTATTTATGGAGTTCCTGAGCAGAATGCAATGCCTAGGTATTTAACAGCTCATGGTGAATTTTTAACTGCTGATTTGTCCAAGCACTTTTTGAACCCATGAAGTGTTCTCTGAACACATGGCACGTTACTGTGATCCTCCACTGACCCAGAGAAAGCAAATATCCACATATGCAGTTCAATTCCCTTTGTTCTTATCTTTGGCTGACTGTTACAATCTTAAATGTTTTTTGCACTTCAGCCAAATTTGCATATGAAGCTACATATTTGAGGAAGTAAAAATAGTGATTAAACTGCAGAGAGATCTCCCAGGTGCCAAGGCAGACGGTGCTATAGGCAATCTGCAGGACATATTCATACTACAAGTATAGTATTTTCAAGGGAATTTTCTTTCCAACCACTAAGGCTTCTGTCACTTCAGAGACTCCACTACAGCTTCCCATGTAACATTAGCAGATAGATTTCCTTGGTGGTCAGTCTAAACATTTCTTTGATTGCTCTCTGCATCTCAGATGCCAAGGGGAGGATTCAAATCCCTGCGTTTCCTGAAGGGCAAATCAGTTGTGTAAAGCAGAACAGCTCCAACAGAAGACAATGACAATGACATTGTCATGACAACCCACAGCCAAGGTGCCAAGGATTCTGACAGTGCTTTCATCTCCTGTCCTGAGGGGATTCCCTGCTCACCCTACTAAAGTCTACCTGGGACAGACCTTTCTCTCCATGGGCTTATCACAAAGTACGTGTAAATATTTGAGTTTATCCCAAAACAGAGTGAATGCCTTGTCCAAAGGAGGAGGGGACATTTTTTACATCTCCATCAGGACCACGGCCTGGGAAAATGTATCCCAAATCTGCTGCAGCCAAAGATGCAGTGCCAACTTCACTTCATCACTGCTTAGCTGAGCAACACAGGCATTGCATTCCTCCAAAATCAGTCCCTCAGGTCTCTCAAAGTGCCCTTGCTCCCTGAGAAGTGCCTCCAGGCAGCCAGTATCTCTCAGAGTGCAAAGTCTCAGAGCAGAGCTGTGTCTTGACTGCACTGCAAAGACTGAGTTTCACCCCTTAGTGCCCCTGGTGTGTGTATGGTGTTCTCAGTCCTATCTGTCTAAAAACTCTGAATTCAAGAGAAATAATACATGTGGAAATGGGAAAAAGAAATGAAGGACCTCTGTGTATGCCCTTTTTCTGGTCATATGACAAGTTCATTGGTAAATTCTTGGTGAATTCAACTAGTGAGTTTAATTTTACTTCTTCAAGCTCTTTGTCAAGAAGGTTTTTTCTTTAATACAAATGTTTTCAAAATACTATGCAACTGGAATGGTCAGCTCAGGAGATGCAGATGCCCCTCTAGTGCAGGAGTTCACAGCTCCGAGATGTGTGTTCTGTTAGACACAGGCACTGCATCTATTTTAAACTTTCTCTCTGAGATGGTCCTTCATGGCCACTTTGGGGCTGTGTTTCCCCTGGGGTCAGTCAGCACTCAGCAGCTGCCAGGCAGCCCCACCCCACAGACAGTGTCAATGCCAAAGGCTGTCATCCTCTAGGTATGGCAACAGGTATCCCAGAGGAAGGAATCTTTGCTTTCCCTCCCCTGGGAATGCTATTTGGATCTCAGAAATTTATCATAATTTATGGCCTCCCCAGGTGAATATTACTCTTAGTTCAGCATGAACGAAAACCTGATATTGCTGGGTTTTTTCTCTATGTTCTAGCTACTTGTGATGTGTGTTAAGCTGGCACATCACTATAGTTCATATTGTACCATTAGAGGGTTTTTTTTACCAGTTAAGGAATTCTGAAAAAAAATCATAATAGGCCAATAAAAATAACAAGAGTTTTCTTTTTACAAAGGTGTTTACGGTGTTTCTTAAATTAAAGGCATATTATTTATTTATTGATTTGGAAAAATAATTTTTAAATATTCCTTAAAATGAATTCCCCAAACTAATGTGATGTTCAGGCAAATAAGCAGAACTCTAAAATGAAAACTTTTTACAACTGGAAAAAAAGATTTCAACAGATAAAAGTCATATTTCAGATATTAGAAATCAAGATTTCTAGGAAGCAAGAGCAGGATTCTTCATCAGAAATTGTAGTGATAGGAGAAGGGGGAATGGCTTCAAACTGACAGAGAGTAGATTTAGATTGGATATTTTAAGTAGAAATTCTTGCCTGTGAGAGTGGTGAGGCCCTGGCACAGGTTGCCTTGGACGGGGCTTGGAGAAACTTGGTTTAGTGGAAGGTGTCCCTGCCCATGGAAGGGGGTGAAACTGGATGATCTTTAAGGTCCCTTCCAAACCAAACCACTCTGTAATTCTGTGATTTTATATTAACATGTCTACACCATTTTCTTGGGTATTATGAGGCAAAACCTTCTCAGACTTTATAGCAGGATCAGTAACTGACTATAAATGTAAACATTAAAATAGACATGATGCTCATCACAGTTTCAGTTGCAAGAAAGTTATTGATATACTTGGAATTTTCCTATAGAAGATCATATGATACCATCCATATCTACACAGTCCTTGAGATGTGCTTGTCTAGAACAGATCCTTTCATACTTCCACACCCAGGTTTTGCTTTGCTTATCTCTTGACTTATAAAATTATTTTCTATCCATACCTTTTCCTAAGTTATATTCTTCATACTTGTCATTCTGGCTCCTCTCCTCCTTACTCTTCCTTACAGGAATGTTTTCCTTTTTTTCAGAAGAGAGCTACAAAATGTGCTCCATTCAAAATACTTTAGGCCATCTCCAAGAAGGCCCTCTGCCTAAAGGGAGCAAACATAAAGTAGTAGTGCAACACATAAAGGATACTTGTACTAATACTGGCAATAATTTGATTCAATTAAGTAATTTTCACAAGTGCTTGACATTGTTAAGTGTGTAAAAACTTGTGACCCCAAATGCTTTTCTCGCTGGCTCAAGGGACGGACCACATTCATTTCTGCCTGATTTCATCCTCCCAAAGTATTTCTTCTACATTAAATTTCCCACTGAAAATTACAAATATTTTCTCCAATTTTCCAGACCTCCCTTTGAGTTTGATCCCATTCTACCCTGCCAAACTGCTTGGAAATCCCTTTTCCCAAGACACGCAGCAGCAGTGTCTGCTTGTGTCACCTCAGGGTCTGTTCCTCCAGCATGGGTGACCGGAACATTCCCAGATGTTCTTTGCCCCATCCCTCCTGACTTTGTCCTGTCCCGGGGGAAGCAGATGGACGTGGCTGAGCGCCCTGGTTGCCTTTGAGCCCTTGTGCTGGGATTTGCTCCCAGTGCGTGGGCCCGGCAGT